CAACTGCTAACAAGATCATTTATCTACACCTGATGTTGAACTCTATCTAAACCTCACCCAGAAAGTAAAAGCAAGTAGCCTAGAAAGCTGTTTGCAACATTTCTGAGGAGGAATGGCTCTGCTCTCCCATAGCAGCATTTACAAAATGTTAGCTCGCTCAGAATTTCCAATTTAAAATAACAACAACAACAACAACAACAACAACAACAACAACAACATGTAACTGTAACATGGGAATACCCCAGAACAGCAGCTTGGCAGGAAAAAGGCTATTTCAAAATAAGGTCCCCAGCAAGAAGAGTTCTGGCAGATGCACAGTCCTGGATCATATTAACCAAACTGTTGCATTCTGGAAGATTTGGGGGTTTTCTTTTGTGGTTCCCATACCCTTAATAGACTGGTAAGAGATGTTCATCAGCCAAACCGAGTGGCTTCCCCCTCCATTCCTAGTGTGGGAAAATGAATACACAAAGGGAACCAGTTACAATAAGCATTCCTACCTCCAGCGGTGGTTTTAACACCCTAATAGCTGTGTCAGGTATAAAACTTGTTTTGGCTAATGCCTATTCTCATATGTAATGCTATTAACTGAAGATCATCTTAGAAAGCCCACTATCCTCACATCTTAGGAAGCCCAGGATTCTAACTCCCCTCTGGTGAGAGAAGCTTTAGCACCAATTAAATCTCTCAACTGGTTAAGAATGGTGCTTAAAGCTAATGCCTTTGGCCTGTGTGTATTGAGACTTAAATTGCATATTGTTATTCAAGATGCTTAGTCTTTGAAAAATATTCTATTTGTTTGGGCTTGAAAGAAGAGATTGCCCATCAATGGAAGAAAAGAAGAGAAAAACATAAAGAAAATGTAAGAAAATTGTACAAAATCTAGGAAGCTAGTACAATTTGTGTTAACTGTATGTGGAAGTGAAAATATGTAGAATTAAGAGTGATTCTTCCAGTCCCCTATGTAAATCAGATTAAATGCTTTGAAATTTAAACCCATATCTCTTTCAGCTCGTTTCACTTTCAAATAAAAAGTTTAAATGGGAATGGGAAAAAAAAACTGTTCATTGGCTTAACATAAATCTTTAAACTGCAGGGAGCTTCACCCTCAAAAAATAGTTGAATCTCTGAGGAAAAAGAAAAGGCTGAATTCTATTTTTCATAAATGATGGATTATCATACCACACTGTGTATTTTCCAGTAAAGTGTCCTTTTATTTGTACTGTGTGATTACAAGTTTCTAAAAGTATGTGTGGGGTCACTTGGGTGCTGTGGGAAAATGGAAGGAACATTGGTCTGTTAACATCAGTAGTGAAATCAGAAGCAAAGTATGTCCTGATTATCATAGGCATGTGTTTAAATTTTGCTTTCCTTAATTGGTTATGTTGTATTTACTTAAAAGAACAATTTGGCAAGTTTTTCTCCCTTGACAACAGAAAAGCGTAAACTGTTTTATAAGTTTGGCTGTGAAGAATCAGATTTGTAAACCACAACATTCAAAGACCTTTACTGCTGTTTTCAGGGACCAAGTGATGGGCCTTGCTTTATAATCATGCATTTCTTACATTTTTATTTTTTATTTATAGTAATTTCTAGTTATTTGTTAACAAAAATGTGCAATATATTATAGGCATCCATCGACTTCACTTCTGCATAACTCTTCGCAGAACAACACGAGTGGAATGAATGATGGCAAAGGCCTTGTAATTTGACTTGTCATCTGAGAACCATTATTTATGGCATCAGGAAATGGAAGCTGGTGCTCTAGTCTTTCTCCAGGAAAGTCATCATTAGAGGAAACTTTGGAGAGTTTGGCTAAGTTAAAAACTGTAATCATATCCAAGACTAGGCTAGTTTCTCAAGATGTGTGAGAAGGAAATAAGATAAAGCACTTAAAAACATATTTCCATTTCCTATGAAAAGCCAATTCACCTTGCAGATATTTCTCAAATGTGGAGCCAGATGGTGGCATTGAAAACAATATAAAGCCCACACACACACACACACACACACACACACACACACACACACACATCTAATTAAGATACTATCACCAGAATACTTAGGGGATTTCAAAAAGATATGTCACTACGTAATTATTCTCAAAATCTAGTATTTATACTGCACATACATTATGTGCATATATTTTAATTTACAAAGTATTTTTCAATCACATCATTTTTATTAGCTCCAGAATAGCAGGAAAAATGCCTTGATAGGCCCTGTATTTCTTTAGATTCTGCTATTGGAAATGGCAAGATTTTGAGGTGAGACCAGAAATAGAAACTATTACCTTTAATAACCTGTAAAAACTTTGGTCATTCCATACAACTCCAAAGACAAGACAGACCTGAGAACAAAACTGCCCTGGGGGATAGTTTCTTAAAGCCTATCCAGTGCTCCTGTAGTCTCTACACTAGCACCCAGAGGGAGGAGTGGCTGTCAGCTGAAGCAGGTGATCCAGTGTTCAACTGTAAAGGCTGGGCTTACAATGAAAGCCAACTGAATCTCAGCTGGGCACAGTATGTTAAAATATTCAGAATAATTTTTCCAATTATACAAATGTAAAACATGCCTGCATATATACGTTTCTGTAAAAGTAATATTTGCTTGCTTAGGTGTTAAAAGCACTTGCTATTTCTCTAAAATGACCTGAGGTCAATCCCTCCTCTAGGATCCATTATATTGTGCTTCCTTTGTGTCCCTTTCCATGTTGTACTATAATTACATAAGCCATGTGCATTTTGTTCACAACAGTTAACTCCAACACTCCATATAAGTAATAGGTGGTCAATTTGTTTCTTGAGCCATTTATGTAATGTTAAATGACCTAGTAGCAATGTTTTTAAAAGTTAAAAAATACCCTGATAATATAATAATTTCAGTAATATATTTCTTTTATCTGAAAATATCCAAAGCATTATCATTTCAACATATGGCCCAAGATGAATTGCAAGTGCTCAAGAGCAGAAAGGAACTAGTGGTACACACATTGGACAGCACAGTCCCAAATCAGTGCTTCTCAAGCACCGCAAGTTAAGATACTCATGGGAATTGATAGTATTGGTAGAGCCCACTGAAAGATATGGACGCCACTCCTGTTCCAAATATATACGACTCCCCCCATGGTCCCATGCTGTTCTCTTTCTGCTTTATTACCCTAAGTGCAGAGTACTGAGATCTGTATAACCCATTCTTCCAGGGCTGATAGATGGGAAGCTCACTCCAAAGCAGGGAATCCTAGCATTTTTAAGGTGTAGACTCATTTACTTTCTTATGTAAAAGTGGTTACACTTTTATTACCAATTAATTTAATAAACAGCTAATGATAGATAATAGGTCAGACAGATATATATCTGCTATTTATAGATAGAAATAGAGATATATGCTATTTATAGATAGAGATTTGGTTTTGTTTTTCACAGTTCCTTTAGATATTTTTCAGTGTACTGATAGTTCTTTTACCACCGATATAAGAGATTGTAAGCACATCTTATAAATTTTCAAGCTGTTTAAGGAAGCAATTCTCAACAGAGAATGAGTTTAGGGCCAGGGATTTAGCTCAGCGGTTCGGTGGCCTGCCTTGCAAGCACAAGGACCCGAGTTCAATCCCCCGTACCAAAAAAAAAAAAAAAAAAAAAAAAAAATCAATCAGAGAATGAGTTTAGTCCTTCCAGAGCATACTTGGAAATAGTTAAAGACATTTTTGATTGTCATAACTGAGAAAGAGGTGCTACTGTTACACTATTGGGTAGAGAGCAGGAAGGCAGCTCAGGATCCTATACAGACTTCATAAGGCAGCCTTCTGCAACGAAGGTTAACTGATCTAAAACACTGAGTTGAAAAATGCTAGTTTAAAGCAATACAAAGTATTACAGTCCTTTTAAGTGGCAAGCCTGCTCTCAGTGTAGCATCTAGTCCAATATCTTAATCAAACATTAAACATTTTAAAATACCACCACTCTTCTCCGAGTTAGCAGGCTGGCAAGATGTTTTCCTCCTCCTGTCCTTCCCAGCCCTACACTTCCTATCTTGTTAATTGCAGTTTACAACTGCTTTGTGGTCCAATCTGGAGGAAGGAGGATGCAAAAATATTCTGACTTGTTCAATTATAGGACTTCCCACACCCTACAACATAAGATCTCTTAAAATATAGACCTAAATTCTTTAAAACAGTACCTAATAAAGTGTTCCACATGCACGCATTTTGTCAACAGTTGAGTTAGGACACTGGAGACCGGGTCAATGTCTACATCTTATCTTGTAGACACAACAAATTATTTTCAGTAATTAATAATAAGACGCCACTAGTACCATTACACTGGGCTTAATGAAAATCCAGAACTTACATGGCTTTATCATTGATTTCAAAGCCATAAGTATGGACCCTGATGATTAGTACACATTCAACAAGTATTTGAAACTGATACAAAATTGACTTTGAAAATTAAACTAAGAATCTGAAACTAAGGATGGAGAATTTGTGATAACTGTACATCATAAGGAGTGTAAGAAATATTTGTTGTAGAAAAAGACACGACTTTGAGTTAACTTTTAAAAGTGACTGACAAAATTAGGAAGCAGAACCGTCAACAATGCCTGCTTTACTTAGAGATAGTATATGATCAGAATTATGTGAAATTAACAATGCTAAAGCATCCTCCCTATAATTTTTCTTTACTCTGAACACAATTTTGTGTTGAAATAAAGGTAAGTAAAATTATCTAGCTGAAACGATCATATTAAATATAAGAGAATGAAAGAGAAAATGAATTGTGACTATATGGAGTTAATCCCGTTCTCATCAGCCACTGAGGCTGCAGTGGGACTAATACTTTCCTATGGGTAATTTTACTCATACGCCCTATCTGGGCAGAAAGGCCTGAGCTATTAATTCAGGTAGTTGTTCCATAACTACTGTTTTCTATCCATATTTGCATAAAGTAATAATCATAAAGAGAAATTTACTGAAAGCCTCTGACTTTGTTTTTAATCTCCAGTGTTCAGACTGCATCACAGTGCTTCAGATACCAGCGACAAAAACAGAGTTAAAAGCCGATTAAAGAAGTTTATTACCCGAAGACCTTCCTTGAAAACTCTGCAAGAAAAAGGACTTATTAAAGGTACAAGGCATTCTATAGTTGCACCATAACTGTGATAAGTGAATGTTCTTCTGTGTCTAGAGCCAATTCAGCTCTAAATGAATATTTAGGTTGTTATATTCTTGGTTATTAAAATTTCTGCTCTATAATACAGGGAAAAATAGTTGTCTAGGAAATTAACCCTGAGAAAATAAGGGGGAATGTTGGGACCATAGGAAAAAAGTATATAGTTTTGGCATCCAAAGATTTGGACTCACATCAGAAGAGGAGAGGTAACCTCGTGGGTAGATGGTTAGAATGACAACACATTCCCAAGTGCCTGAGGAGTCCCAGTATAAGCCTGATGCCTCAGCATATACAATTACCTCAACTCCTGCCCTTTTGGATACTATTATCTGATCATCAAGGCGGGCCTGAAATATGTGCTAGGTAGGACGTCTGAGACATATTAATGCCATGAAAACTTATGGATATGGACTACTGCAGGGCCAAAAGCTTAATCTAAGCTGAAATAATGAGATATTTTGGTAAACAATCTAAGGTACAGAAACTAAACTATCTTAGCCACCAAAATAGAAATATAGTACATGGTCCCTGAAGTTAGACTGCTTGGAATGCATTTCAACCCTTCATTCCTATCAACATCGAATAAAATCTGGGCTCTCTGAGCCTCAACTTTCCCATCTGTTAAGTGGAACATTTGTACATACCTTGGAGAAGATATTGGACCCTCCATTGCTTCATAGAATAGTATAACAGCACCTTGAATTCTACGTTAGAAGTCACCCTCTAAATTAACATTTTCTAGAGAAACTTTAGTTAGAGGTTGCCTGCCATCTTGTAAGACAAAACCAGATCAACTTCCTAAACAGTTGCAGTTTTACCTAAAGACTAAATGTATCATGACAGTGGCAAAATGAACGGAATTTTGATTCAGTGGTGGGTCTGGCTCCAGTCAAACTACTAACACACTAATAACCCTTGATAGTGCCCTAGAATTGGTCCCAGAAAGCAGCAGAGGAACTGAATGCCTAATGCAGTTTTCATCTGGATGCAATGGAGCCACAGAGCACACTCTGATGCATGTATTTCCTATGTTAGAGCTCCATTAAATTTTCACCATAGCTGACCAATGAGTCAGTGTTCATTAGTAGGGCTATGGAGAATCTATGTGAAATTCTGATTTGATAAGCTTCCATTGTTGTCTTCAGTGGAATTTTTTTCCAAACACAGATCAAGTTATGCAAATGTAGTCACTTCTTGGGCTTGTTTCAATTTTAACTATGAACTTTTTTCAAGGCTTTCACAGAGATATTTTTCAACCGAATAAAAAGCATTAAACCAATTTTTTAAAAGTTTCTACCCATTCAAACATAGTACTTTAATCCAATTTCTTACATAGAAAGCCAAGATTTAGAAAAATAGTAAAATTAATGTTTTTAATCAGTTAAGAAAATTCACATAAAATAAAACAATGGTTAATTTCTCCAAGCAAAAAGGGGTAATTCATTCAAAAGGAAAAACTATTTTAAAAGATAATGGCCTTTAAAATTGATCTGTAGTGCATTTGGCCAAAGACTCTGTATCATACACTGCAGTGTCTAATCTTCCATATCTGGACAAAAGGCCTCCATTGCCAAGGTGAGGAAGGCTGTGCCCCATAGCTTGTTCCTTACAATTGCGATTCCTGCAACCTGCGGGAGCTCTGCAGGGCCACAGTCCCTTTTCCCACTGTGTACTCTTTTATGTACTGTCACCGAGGCTTGAGGGTTCTGACTGAGCACTGAATTCAGCCAGGCTTCCCAAAGGACCATAGTGCGGGCAGGAAGGGCTCCTTTGATGGCTGTAAAACCCACCAGAGTCAGGCCCACACAGCAAATTACACCAAAAGAGAGTCACACCAATATCCCAGCATCCTGTAAGCTACAAAACCTTTCTTCAAAACCACTTTTTCAATACTCATGGAGACATGACCTTGGCCAAGATTTAGATCTGGAAAATGGTCACTTGATGGGGGTAAGTTTTCTAATTTCTTTACTATGGCTAATGAGAAAAGCACAGGGTGTTGCCAAGGGGGAGGGGAAGCAGGGAATTCTGAATGGTTGTGGGATGGGAAGAAACCCTAATAGCTCAGGCGGGTGTAGCAATCACTGTGCCACTGCATTGGTGGCCTCTGAAATGTTCCCCAAGTGCGTTCATGTTTGCCAAGGGGTTGACAAGCCCTTTTTTTAAATATATGACTTTATTGTACGGATCGTTTTATTGGAAACAAAGCCTGAACCAGCTTAATATGTAAATTATAGGCAAGAGGGTACATTTTAGGGCTGTTGATGTGTTTGAACATATCCTGATCTTGCTTTTGGATCTCGGTAATAGCACTTTAATTTCAGTCAACCTACTTGATGTAATCTTTCAAATAATTGTATCAACATCCTAGAAAAAGATACACTTGAAAGTAGTTTTTAAGGACGATAGCAACAGTTTTTTTAAGGGATAGCTAATATGTCCTAGAATCAAAATAATACTCAGACAGAATTGTTTTAGTCATCTTAATATGGGGAAATCCTAATATGGCTCTAATAGAAACAGAAATTAATATCATGTTACCTCCATTTTAAAAATTATTACACTATAAAGTAAAAAACCTGTTTAAAGATTCAACAGAATATCTCAAAGATGTATTATTAAAAACAATGCTTTGTACCTTCATCTTAGTTTTACTTCCCAGAGGACAAAACTTTAAATGGTTTCATTTATATTTCTTCTAGAGGTTGCTTCCAAGTCTACACTAGTTGTTATTTAGGATGCAGGCTGTTTGTTTCTGTCAATATCTTTCTTATTTTTAATGCTGAACATCTAGATTTATCAGCCTATAATTACAAATTTGACTCAGTTATACTAAGCCTTGTCTCTCTGGTCCTTTTCTTCCCCGAATATTGCTGGTCCAAAGCAGTTTATCTCATTGCCTTTTCTATTGTATTTTTGCATCATGAAACTTTATATTATTTCATCTTTTTCTATGACTCACTTAAAGGCTAATTTTAAAAGTTAAAAAAAATGTATATTACTATGTTTGCACAAGGTTGTTTACTGCGCCGGCAAGGATTAGACTTCCTTCTCTGTTCTTGTAATCTGGGAATCCCCATGGCTTTCAAAGGTAATGCCCTGATCACAGTGAAAAGATTCTTCTCTCTTTTATGATTGAGAGTTACATTAATAATTTGCTCTTTTCCAGATGACTTTTATGACTATTTTCTATATTTTGGATCGAGATGTGAAAAAGACAACAATCAGTTTTATTTTGGTCATATAAATATTACAGAATCTGGCCAAATCATGTGACAGACTGGAGTAACATATCCAGCATCCAGGATTATGACTTATGGACCACAAGTGATAATGTTCTGCTTTCAGAGGTTATTTTCTACAAATGACTTAAAATTTTGCTGTCTTTTAGTATACTTCAGCTTTTTATTGTGACATTCTTCTAAAGATGTCTCCCCAACAAGGGTTTCAGGTTTTCTTTCATTTGGAGCCTTCATGTCATCAAATAATTTCATCTTCTTCATCTGTGTCCTCTAGGGGCACCGGTCTCTAGGGACAGCTGAGGCCTTGGCACTGAGCTACATCTACAAACCCCATTTAATGTCTATGTAGAGACTCATACCACACCATGTTGCTCAGCCTGGACTTGAACTTGAAATCCTCCTGCCTCACACGCCCAAAGTGATGGGACTGAGCTCCACCCCTGTTTTTTTCTCCTGAACCTCTTCTAATTCTTTGAGTTATCTCATTTCAGTTTAGATCGTTGGTCTCCGGGATCATTACCCTGCGATTTCCTCTCGCTGCTCTTCTGCACAGTATTCGCTGCCCTCTGAAACCCAAGGTTTTTCTGGCTCTGACCCTGTCTATTACTATGTGATGAGATCTAGCAGCTCCTTTAGAAAACAGAGGCTTCAAAGGCCTACCAGTGCCTTCACCATGCCCACACTTGATCAATAGTTTTGTTGCGTTTAAAATTCCACTGCATTTAGAAGACAATGTTATATGTTCCACTCTTACACACTAGTGGTTACTTAGTTTCTTGTTTTTTTTTTTCCTCTCAAAATCATAAGGTTTTTGTCTTTGAGATGTTTTAGAATCAAGATTATATATTTGATAAAACTTTTTAGAATTACCCTGCTTAGCACTTACTATCAAGCACTATTACTATTCAAATCTGTAGTTTTTACCCCTTTGTTATTTTGATACATTTCTCCTATGTTTTTTCTGCTTCCTCTTTGAAATCTTCATTGTTTGAATATTAGGTCAATTGTATGGATTATTTCATTCAATCTTAATTTTTTTCTCACATTCAGAAAGAATTCTCACTTTTATCTGACCAATCTTTATATTATTTTACCTTTAGCAATCATACTTTTATTTACTGGGTTTATTTCTTTTTCTCTGCTTGTGCTTAGGTCTTATTTGTAAATCTCATTCTCTTATATCATGAGGGTAAAAAACTTGTTTGATCACTTTGTTCATACCCAATAGGAAGAATAGCACTAGCACTCAATAAATGCTCATTAATTGAATATATATTGCATAAAAATATTTTTAAACTTACCTAAGCACATAAATTAGAATTTATTACTGAAGTAAATAGTGAAGAAAATTTTATTTTTATGAACATTTTGGAGAAAAGAATTCAGTATATTTGAAAGCATAGCAGCTTTAATATTTGACCAATGCAGGCTTAATATGGGATTCTTTCATTACTAGCTCTATAACTTAATATCTGGTTATTGGCTTTCTCCTCATGAAGCTTATGTCATACAGTTTAAACTAAGTAACATGTAGAAAGAACTTTACACAGTGGCCAGTTCGTCTTAGCCACTCAACACAATTTTCTCCGTTCATTCTTTTATTAACTCTTCCTCTTTTCTTCTTTCCTTTCTTTCATCCTTTTACCAATCTTCTTTTTGCCCTTCCTTTCTTCTTTCCTTAGGTTCATGGGGGAAAGTATTACCAAATTAGCT